TTCATTGTTGCTTGATCAAAATCCTGAAACAACCCCCCTAATGGCATTGTGGTCTTACCTACATCAAATAGACAACAGTGGTTCAAGAAAGCGGCATCCTCCCACCATCTTAAGGGCAATAAATACTGGCCTAGCCAGCTATACCCACATTCCATGAATGAAAAATAAACACAAAAAATCATGGGGTTAGAATTTAGAAATGATCCAAGCATCAAGTTCCCATTCCCATATTGAAAATCGAGCTCTGTATCTCTTTGCAGCTTCATTATGTCCTCAAGATCATCAGCAAAGTGAGATATATTACCATCAGTTCCTTCATTAAGATATTCATATTGTGGCACCCCATGATCCTTTACCTTAGACATGAACATTTCACATGGCACTTTACCAAATGCTTTTTATTCTAAGAAACAACAAACAGGATATCTTGTGCCAATGGACAAAATTAGATAATATTTATCATTTTTTTCTCTTAAAATATTTAATGACTTCTGTTTTAACCCTGTAATTAAGCATTTTGTGCTCCAACAATCTTCCATGTGAAGGGATTCCTTCTCTTTTCACTTTCTTTGTGGTAACTTTGAAGTTAAACTCTCTTATTACTAACTCCCCAACACGACTAGCAGTTTTGACCATTTTCCGTATTCATAATAATTTTAAATCTTCCATTAAATTTCCTCTTGCCTTTAATGTCCTGGTGGAAATTGTTTTGGCATCTCAAATCCCTCCTCTTAAATAGTTTCCCATTCCTTGTGTAATCCTGCTGAATCTACAGTGTGACCTGTCACTTCAAAGCCTTTCCTATAATGGGGCAGCCAAAACTGCACACAGCACTCTGACCTAACCAATGTTTCATTTAAATTAATCATTACTTCTTCAGTCTTGTGATCTCTGCGCCTATCTATAAAACATAAAGTTCCGCTACACTTTTTATGGCTTTATTTACGTGCACTTAGCATTTCAGAGAATTATGTTTAAAAAAGGAAGACTTTGCCGTTATACAGTGCCTTTCACAATGTTAGGAGATCTCAAAACACTTTTGAAATGTAATCACTGATGTAATGCAGGAAAATGGCAGCAAATTTGCACACAGCAAATTCTCATGAACTGCAATACAGTAATGGCCAGACAATCTATTTTTGTAAAGATGGTGACTATTGACCAGGATCCTCGGGATAGCTCACTTTTGCAAAATGGGATCATATTGTTACGAAGTTGGGTAGAGTATTGATGAATTGGAAGACAGGAAATTAGTTTTTATCGGTAAAAATGATCGTGGGGAAAAGAGTGCCGTGGTCCCTTTAAGAGCTTGTGCTTTGTCTGGGCTTGGAAGTCTATAAATGCAGGTGCACAGAAAGTGCCCGAATGGAAGTAGTTTGTACAGAACAGCCAAGCAGCACTTTTTCCAAGACAACAAGTTTGAATTTTAATTTAAATGAAGTACCTAGATATAGAAAGCCAATTGAATTTAAATCTGATGCTGTTGACAACCTGAAAACAATAATATAATAAGAATTTGATCGCATCATTACGGGTATATAAGATGAGGGCAGTTGGAAAATCGGGGAGAACCAACTGCCATCTTCAAGAAAGAGCCATCCGCCACCTACCAGAGTTAGCACCATTCAGCTCTCGGAGAAAGCCCATCTAATTAATCTAAGGTACCACAGTATTTTAGCTCAAAGACCACATTGAAGAAATTATAGAGATAAAACATTCTAGAATGCAGAATTAATGGAAGAAAGGTGTTTCTGAAGAGACCGGAGCCGACAGAATATTCCAGAAGACAGTCTGTGCGAACTTGGAGAGATTAAGTTATTATTTATTGCTACTTATTAATTGGGTTTATATTCGTGGGACTTGTCTTTATTTAAACAGCATTCCAGTAGAATTTAGACCCAGTTAGGGGGTAGTTGGTAGTCGAAAGGGAATTGTCGCTTTGTTAGTAATTTTGTTAATTTGTTCATTGTTGGGTCAAATAAATAAATTGTTTCTCGTTACTTGTAAAGTGGAGATCAGGGATTTATTTTATTTTAACCACTCTTTTAATAAATTACAAGGGGAAAGATGAGATTCTCTGGGTGTTTCGGGGGTAATTATTAGGGGGGAATCCCTTCTCCTATCATAACAGATTGGGGCTTATGGTTTAGTTTAATTATCAGAGGGGTTCGGCCATTCCTCTCTGTAACAGTGTGTGTCCAGTTTAGAGAGGTGACCAGTTTTACTGAGAGAGAGAGCAGTGCTACATTGGAGTATCAGCTGAGATTTCTGTCCTTGCATCTCTGAAATGTGGCTTAAACTCACAGAGGTAAAAGTGTTACCAATTGACCATTGATGTTATACTAATCACTGTTTTTCTGTTTACATCCTTCCATGCATTCATTGCATGTGTTTCAATTCTTGTGTTCTCTCAAAATGAATCACCTCAAACTTTTCTGTTAAATTACAGCTGTCATCTGCTTGGCCATTCCAGTAGCCTGCATCTTCTCAAAGTCCTTTAAAGTCTCTGTCATTGTTGTCAAAGTGCCAATTTCTGTATCATCACTAAGTCCAAATTCTTTTTGTACTTACAGCCCAAAAGTGGACTGACAAAAGAGTACTAATCTGGGGTCCAATACATACATCATTTCACTAATCTAATTCCCACGTATTTCAACTATTTGCTCCCCTTCTGTGGAACAGTCTGAACTCATAATACTAATTTTGTCTTGAGCCATGCACCTGAATTTATGGGAGTCTGCTGAAAATCCCTGTACATTAATATGGTTCTCTCAATTGCCTTTCCAGTTCATAATCAGGGAAATACATTTTTGTGATAGGAAATTTGAGTGGAAGCCGTTCCACCTGATTTTCAGAATTAGGTTGCTTCTGTCATATTTCCTCTAGCTCTTCCTGATCCATCCAATTGATCTCATCTAAATATATAGTACTAAACAGCAGTGAATTTTGCATTTGAAAATTCATTTGGGATAATGGAGAATAGATTTATCTGATATACTAGTTTTGAGGATCAACTGAGACTTGCAGCAGTGAGGGATCTGAGAGTTGAAGAGCCTCGAGTTTCTAATGACTGGTTTCTGTACTAAAAAAAGCCTTCAATAGTGATTTTTCACATTTTGCGTCCCACTTCCTCTGACTATGTCAGAGCACTATCAAATTCCGTCAAACATCTGCCCAAATGAGAATATGTCTCGTGCAGATGTGGCATTTTCTCTGGGCATACCCATGTATGCAATTACATGGTAGAGGCAGAGTGGACAATTATAGCTATACCATGGAGAGTCAGGCAGCAATGAAATGCAAGAATCCAAAATCAAACCCCCAGCTCCTGTAACCAGAATTCGATATGAATTGTTGATTGTTCGAGTACTGTGTTAAAAAGTTGAAGAATGTGCTGGCAAGGAAACATAAAGTAAATATCCATTGTACTAATTTACATCCCCTGGTGAGGTTGTTGAAGTTCATAAGGAACTAGTCTATAATTTTGAGGCTGAGACAATTAGAGCTCAGTACCATGTGTTTCCAGGTAGCAGATTTATTGACACAGCACCAAGCTGTCCATGAGAGATAGCAAGAACTGCAGATGCTGGAGTCAGAGATAACACAGTGTGGAGCTGGAGGAACACAGCAGGCCAGGCAGCACCAGAGGAGCAGGAAAGTTGATGTTTCAACTTGGGACCCTTCTTCAGAAATGGGGGTAGGGGAAGGGAGCTCCGAAATAAATAGAGAGAGGAGGGGTGGGGCTAG